TATATATATATATATATATATATATATATATATATATATATATATATATAACTACACACACACACACACACACACACAATAATACTATATATATATATATATATATATATATATATATATATATATATATATATATATATATATATATATATGTATATATGAACTACAGCATTCAATCCTGCCTTTCTCAACTGTTAGGAAATAGCTTTACACATGCCGACTATCTAAGGCTAACCTCCAAAATTGTGCTCCACATACAATTTTACCTATATAGCAATTTGGGTGTACACATGTACTCATGTACTGTACACTTGCAAAATCCGCTTTGATACTATCACTTGTTTATCTATTAGGTACATAAACTACTGCCTTCAATACTACTTTTATTATCTCTTAGAACCTAGCTTCACGCATGCCAACTAACTAAAACCAATCTTCGAAATGCTCGTCCACCATCAGGTCATTCCACGACGATCGAATGGTCATTGGGTGGTCTCGATGAATTCTTACGATCCTATAAGAACTTCCACTATAGTTATGTACATGTGTTCCTTTGGTCTTGTAGAGTACTACTGCATATTTATTAAACTGCTAATATGTCTGTATGTGCCATACCTCTATCCGGGCAGAAAGCTCGATTCTGCTTTTCTTCAGTGCTTGTGCGCGCAAGGCTACATATATCTCTGGAAGTAAATACTTGGGCCGATTTCGCCCCAGATTTAAACCGTAATCGACAGACCAGAAGTCCAGGACCTTGGGGCTTGGATATTCTTCCGAGTTGGGTTAAAACCGACCAATGCGATGGAGATCAAAAATAGCATTTGAGCAATTAACACTGTAAATACTAAATAACAGTGTTTGTTTTTCCAAAAATACATAAAATACAAATTTTAAAATACGGGCCTTATTAGGGCTGTGGATAGAGTCTCTTTAACGATTTCCGCTAAATAAATACATAGTTTTAAATACATACATACAACGGAAGAAACCTGATTTCTGCTCGCGATCCTAATCATCTTATGGCCTAATCCAGACTCCAGAGGGCAGTGAGCGCCTGAGCGGATGCCGAGTTCCCGACAGGCACTCATCAGAACTCAGGAGCCTCCCTGTTTTTATTAGAGAAGGACACTGGACAGGAGGTTAAGCTGAAGCTGAGCAGGAGCAGGCAGCAGGTTGACAAAGGTTGCCTTATTTGGTCTTAAAAAAAGGCGGCTGCATATGTGATTTATGTAGTTACACACTGTATTAAAGAAAGCAGTCCACACACTACAAACTAACCTTAAACGAGTTTAAAAATAGTATAAATACCAGAACGAACTTACTACATGTGAAATTCAAGCAACAATACCCATATCAATTACAATAACTCACACTACACATTCGACACACAGATTTCAGAACCATCAATATGCCTACTTCATTGAAGAATGTCTTGACATCGATCACAGAACAACTCGTCAAGGGTGGAATGACCTCTGGCGCTGCCCAGGACAAAGCACCGCTGTTCAAAAAAGCTGCTACGCTACTGCAAGAGGTATGCGCATGCGTTACAGTTTGGAGTTTCAAATTTCTAGATATCTGTACCTGCTCAACTACAGATGTTTTTATCGGTTTACGTAGAATCTATGGTCTAATTAGGCAGAAGATGGTAGTTTTTAATTGTAAGTAAGATATCTAAAATTGACTTCACTCATCTCTAGGATGGCGCTTCTGAGGACTGTGAAGTGAATGCCTACTGGGTACCCGGACGAATTGAGGTCGTCGGCAAACACACAGGTACAGAATTTTGACTGATATTTTAATTTGTTAGCGACACTGGGGGACCACTCGTTATTCATGCATTTTAAGGTAGTCTGTTTGGGGTTCAACCTATCCTGTTCCATGTAACCACGTAAACACGTCGTTGTGTATTTGAGTGTTCTGTGATGGATTACTCGCCAAGTAGTGTACACGGCGCACAAAGGGTTTCTCAGTATTTATTGAGTATTGCGTCAAGGGTGTGTTAGGGTGTTACAGACATCTGTACTTTGGTGAGTTCAATTTACACTTAATCAATGTTCGGGGCCCGTGCTGCCTGACAATGCAGACTCGCATAGAACCTCATACAATTTGTGCAAAAAGGTGGCTGGTTCCACGTCTTAGGGTTTGTCTCTGCTAGACACAAGTGCAATGGCAGACCATGTAGTAACCGAGACTATTAACTAAACCAACAACCATGATATCTGCAGACTACTGTGGAGGCCGATCGCTCTTAGCAGCCGTATCCAAGGGGTTCGCCGTGGTTACCCGAGACCGTGATGACGATATTGTAAAGATCATCACCACATTTGCCAGCGGTGAGAAGAAGGTAGCCGAGGTGCGCATGCACAGAGACCTTGATCCAGCTGAGGGGGAGTCCTGGGTCAACTATCCAGCCACCACAGTCCGCCGAATGGTTCGCAACTTTGGTATCAATAAGGTTTGTTGTTTGTCGTTAGTTCTGTAATAATTATGTACTTTACACTGACAGCAAGATTTCCATTCGTTCAGCTGCGCACTCGGATACGTGTTGCAAATTTTAGGGTCGCTGGCATATAGCACTAAGCTTTGTCCTTAATCACGACCCCTCCTTATTCCATACAGCCCATACCTACCTTTCCGTTGTCCCCGCGCCAAAAAAACAAATATACACTCACTTGTTCGTGCGCGCACTATTTACATATTATTTGGGCATGATATTTCTCAGTGCATCGCACCCACACTCACATGCACACCCTCTGACACTCGCTTCACATCATAGGGAATAGAAATCGCTATCGGCTGCGATCTTCCGGAGGCTTCCGGTATGAGCACCTCGTCAGCGGTGATCTGCTACATGTTCATGACACTCTCCGCAAGAAATAACATTGAGGAGAATGAGACCTTCAAGAAGCACCTACCAACCACAGAGGAGCTGTACTCGTACTTGGGGTTCATTGAAAATGGACAGAACTGTAACGAGCTAGCCGGAGATAAGGGTGTGGGAACATTCGGAGGCAGTGAGGACCACACAGGTATCATGAGTGGACAGGCGATGAAGGTATGGTGTCAGACTGACAGACAGGCATGCCAGTGGATAGTAGTTACATGAAAAGCACCCTTGTTGTTTCTTTCCACTGTGATATGTTTATGAAAAGTGTGTTCTTGCGTACATATACGTGGTGGCCGATTTTACTCTCTGCGAATTTTACAACGTTTGTCTGCCTCGCCTGCTTAGCAGTGCTACTATGTGACTGGAACTTATTCCTACAGCATAACAACTTGTACCAAAAGGACCATCTAGTAACTCATCGCACCACACTTCCATTCACACAGCTGAACATGTTCAGTTACTGCCCCACGGCGCATGAGGGGGCGTTTAGTTTCCCTGAGGAGGTGACCTTTGTGATTTGTGTGAGTGGCTGTATAGCCGAGAAGACGGGAGCGAAGATGGGTGATTACAACAATGCCGCCTTTCTGGCGCGGGATGGAGCAAAGGCCTGGAGCAAGGCGACCGGCAAATCTGCAGCAAACTACAAAGAAGTCATTGTCCACACAAAGGAGGGCGGCAGTACAGGCGTCAAGGTAAGCAATATCACCTCGAATTCGCCTTCGGCCTTATGGTTGAATCTAGATCTTTCATGACCGTGTTCTGAAAGGAGTATGGTTTCTGGCACGTTTTGCTGCTTCCTGTACGATCAAATGGTAGTTTAGTAGATTGGGATGTATCATGGGTCTCTTCGAAGGCAATCATTGCCATGCACCTCACTCATCCGTGATTTACTGTCCCGTTCAGGAATCAATTCTGGACCAAATCGCCAAATTTGACGATGGCAAACATTATCCAGAAGACGCAGACCGCAAGTACCCTGCCGGAGCACTCACTAGAAGGTTCGACCAGTTCTACGAAGAAAACGAAGTTATCGTTCCGGGAGTGGCTAAGGCGTTCGCAGAAGCTGACTACACGAGGCTGGCAGAGCTTACTGATAAGTCACAGCAACTCACTGATACGGGCCTGATGAACCTTGTACCGGAGACGCGAGCTTTGCCTAAGTTGGCTCGAGAAAACGGTGCTTTAGGTAGGTGTAATGTGTCGCTGAGAGGTTATGTGTGTGATTTATGTATTGCTGAGAGATTATGTGTGGAATTCATAATGTGATGTTTCTCAAATCTTGCTAAAAATCCCTTGATGAATTACCGTTGACCCAGAGTACCTGAATACCGATATACATATTCGTATGCATATATACGATAGACGTATATATCTCGATTTAAACTAATTTTGTGCAACTCTATTCCATCAGCATCCAGTGCATTCGGGGCTGGTTTCGGTGGAAGTGTTTGGGCTCTGGTGAAGAAGTCAGAGGAAGAGAAATTCACAAAGGCGTGGGCTGATGCATACTATCAGGAGTTCCCAGAGGTGAAGGGCAGGGCGACGTTCTTCGACATGGTACCTGGTATGTAATAGTATGCTCGTGGTCAATATACAAGACTGGCTGTACTTGTAAGTTTGAACACACTTGGGTGTATTTGTGTGTGATTGCCCTGAGTTTTATAGATGAAGTATCGAATTTACAAGGGTACACGAACGCCGATAATGCTTCCTTCACCAATTTGAGATGCAACAGTATGTGATGTGGTGACATGTGATTCTGTGGTGGCATGGATAACACGTGACTGAGTCATTGCTCGCAAATACAGGCACTCATAATTTTCACCCACCATTACCAATATCAGGGCCTGGGGCATTCTCTCTGTTCTAAAGGATAGATCCAATAGGCTGCGAGATGACTGCATGCGAACATAGTAAGTAGAACATAGTTAAACAAAAGGAAAATGAAAATAAATGACAATCCTCTCAGAACGAATTTGTCTTTAGGTCATATATACTTTAGTACGATCTCGATACGAGCGATTCAGACTGTATCAAGCACGTGAAAACAATCTATCAATCACAATCGCTGTATTCGCTACAATATTTACGAATGACGCCGTAGTCTCAATTAGTACACAAAATTACATTTACCGTTGATGTCGCAGACAAAACATAAACACTGAAAATACCATATATACACACAATACCATACAATACGGTCACTTGTCAATCCATATTTCAATGTAAATTAGTTGCCCAAGGCGATGCTAAAGCCACGTACTAGTACACTGTCTATCATCGCTCATGCACTATTCACATATCACTGTCCCCTCACTGATAAATTCGTAGTAGCCACGTATTAGTGTAATGTCTGACATCGCTCATACACCATTCACAGTTCAGAGCGCCATCAATGATGAAGTCTTAGTAACAACGTACTAATAAACTGTCTATCATCGCTCATACTACATTCATAAATCACAGCCCCTTCACTGATGAATTGAATGCAGTGACGTACTAGTATACTGTCTGTCATCGCTCATACACCATTCACAGTTCAGAGATCCGTCACTGAGGAAGTCTTAGCAGCAACGTACTAGTAAAATGTATGCCACGTACAAGTATACCGTCTGCCATCGCACATAAATCGTTCAGAGATCACATGCTGAAGCCGTACTGACGACGAACAACGTGGTCATAGTATATCTTGTCAAGCCTAGAATCGCGAGCGGTACCATGGGTGATACCGGACTAAAAAACAATGTATTAGGACAACGTGATTATTGGTATGCTAACAATGAGGATTTATATTGGGGTAAACCAAAACAGCTATAAGGGCATGTATATTTTTCAATGCGTACATACATGTTTATGAATTCGTATCATCACGACAATTAAGCAGCTGAATAAGAGTTTTAGCATAAAAATACACAAGCGGTCACATGTGCTGTTGTACCTCGCTCTAATCAGATGTGAACCCTCATGAGGAAGCAACCACACATGCTAGACAAAATTCTATTCACAATGCGGGCACGCGCTGACAAGAGTCATCCAGCCATGTAAACGCCTTATACATGGCATAGAGCCATTTGTATATACAACCATGTCGCATCGTCATATTCATACTACCACCGGTTGCAAGGGCAAGTAGGCTTTTTATAAATATTGGGTACAAAGTTGAATTGCACAAATAGTGATTGAACTTATTATGCTGTTGTATTCTGGGAAGATAAGAGTACATCGTTTCAAATTTTCTAGCAATTCGCCTGGTTGCGGCAATGTCGCTCTAAACTTATGTAATATTGATATGATATCAACGCTCTGCTGTGTATCGGTGGACCGGGTTGTTTTAAACGATCCTGCTCTATCTACTAGAATCTCATGCAATCCAAATTGTCTCGCAGAGGCGAATGATACATTGAAATTGTGTATCCAGTAGGCACAGTAGTTTCAATCAGCTCATTCGCCTGACAGTGTGCTGACATCTATTTAAGTAGAACATTCACAAACAACACACACGAATATATATAATATATATATATATATATATATATATATATCTATATGCATATATATATAGATACATATATATATATATAGATATATATATATATAGATATATATGTGTATGTATACATATATACATATATACGTATACATATTAGATATATATATACATACATATATATATATATATACATATACATTTATATATATTATG